AATTTCCTCTTTAACATGCTTTGGAAAAGTTGCATGTGGTGCACAGATTCGAAACTATTGCTGCCCCGAACGAAGCAGAATTAGGGTGGCTGATCGAGTTCTCAGACATTTTCAATGATCAACCGGATGTTTTGATATGATCCTTCACGTAAACACTGAATCCCTCCTCATAGTGTGCAAACTTGGCTTCAACGCTCTCACACAATCGATTTAAAGCAATTGATGTCATCAAGATTGTGCCATCGCAAGATCGTCCTACGAAACTGTCCTGCTATTCGAACAATTTGTCAGATCGGCTGTTACACCTCACAATGAGCTCAGACGTTCTCAGCCGTCTGGTCAGTGCTCCTCCATCAGACAGAGGTCCAAGCGGAAGTCATGAAACTATTGTTATTATTCTATGGCACTTAACTTTCAATCACCGCTTTGAAATGCTAATGAGACGCTGAAATTGTCCGGTTCTTAGCATCAGCGTTGATCTCCATTCTCAACAATGGTGATTCCAATTCTCCAGTATGGTAGTTGGACATGAAATTTCGTGTGCAAATCTCTCGTCGAACTATTTCCATCTTCAAACCCATTGTCTCAGCTTGTTACCATGTAGCCAGTTGCCGAACTTTTTACACAAATGCCACTAAAGATGCATTTGATCAGAGTTTATAGATTTTGGGGTCATTCACATGGTTGTCAATTAAGCTGGCGTTGTGCGATGTGGCAATATGCATCCTTCAGTGATCATTTTTATTTTTTCTGAAAAGTTGGAGTAAGTCATCAAATGGGCGGTATTACAAACACTCCTCACTTCACTTTCTGCGACCGGTATTTTAACAGAAAAAGATCAAGTACTGTTTGAAATGCTGTTTCTTTGAGTTAAGGGCCCTGCTGACTGAATTTAATACCGAGGCAGAGAATAAGGTTGTTTTCGCACGGGGTTTTCCATAATCGAGCATCTGCATGTGACGTTGCAGCTGACTAATAAGTGCAGAGAACATAAAGTGCCACTCTATATTTCTTTCATCGAGTACAGTGAGTTGCTGTTGTTAACATCGTAATCTGATGTATCAGGGTCGAGGACAGGGTACCCAGATGAATAATGTCTAAAGTTATGGCTTCTGGGAAAATGAAATGGAATGAAATATTTGCTGACACATGTTGTTGGGATTTTAAGACAAAAGAAGCCGAGGCCATGCTTTATGAGCTACAGCTAACGAACAGGTAAACTGACTTCTGGATAAACAGTACGAAGATGAAAATGTTAAGAAATGAATTCTCACACCCTGATAGAGTGACAATCAATGATTACCGAATATGTCTATCTGAGACAGCTAATCGTCTCGAAGTACTATTTCATTCAGGGTTCGCTTGAAGGTTTCGCGTGGAGGGAGTACGTGCAGGAGAAACACTGACATTCTTGAAAAATGAAAATTATCAACCGTGGTTAAAATCAAATTATACAAAAACACAGTGTTGTCAATAATTCTAAATAGTTGAAAAACTAACGCGTTAAAGATAAGGGATGAAGAACTGTTAACAGTGCAGTAGTCACAGAAAAAAGGATACTGCAAATTTTCATATTGGACAACCTACGAAATGAAGAAATAAGAAAGCGCATGGAAATGCAGGACGTGGTATTAGTCTTGAAAGAAAGAAAACAACAACGGGCAGGCAACATCGTCTGACCGGCGTATGGTAGATGGACTCAGACAATAACGGATTGACACCCAAGAGGCTGGAAGCTCCCAACTGGAAGACCTCAACTGAGCTTGGACTATGAGCTCAACGAGAAATGTCGAGTTTAGTGGCGAACAGCCTCACGAAGCCGCGAATATGGATATTGAGACTAAGCAGTGGTGATCCATGGTAATTACGAAGAAGCATTGGTGTAGAATATCAAGAATATAAGTATATCAAGTGCTCGAAAATAGCACATTTCGTCGTTTGATTGTCCTACACTTTTATAAAAAACTTCTTCGTTTTCTAAGATTGCACGAATAATAAATTTGCTAATCTATTTACGCAGTGTTTAAGTGTTCGAACATCAAGGGAGAAAAAGTGGGACTTCGAGCAGATTAACTATGCTGAGAACATTCAGCAAAGTAGTACAAATAAACTTGAGGATTGATCTCTGACTCCCTATGTTGACAACCGAACGATTAGACATGTATCTGAACCTGAAATGTGCTGAGACAACATTTGCGCATTCTTGCCTATCAGACTTGTGACGGCGCGCAGATGCAAACTTTGTTGAACTTTTTAATGGAATATAAATAGAGAACACAATGTATGGTTTTCAAAAGTTTTCTTGACAAACACTGTGAAAGAAAACAATGAATTTACGTAAATAGCATGCATTCATTCTCCAAGTACCCTGTTCCCTTCTGATGGCGGCAGCAGCTGCTTCAAGGGGTCTTTCGGATGGTCTTGGTCTGCCACCAAACGGATAAGTTCAATGGTCTGGACTCGAAGTCGTGGCATAGGTTTTCATTAGGTTTTCTACATAATCAAACCATCTGGTCTTCTGCCTTCCAATGGGCCGTCTTCTATATGGATTTGTCAGAGTTAGGTTTGCGAATCTCTCATCTGGCATCGTCATCACGTGTTAAAATCATTGCAATTGTGATCTCCAGCATTGAAGAAAGACTTGTTCACAATCGATGGTACCGCCATCGCTCTCTGCCGGTCAGTACATAACATTAATGATTTAGGCGCATATACAACTGTGGTGGACAGATAACTTCATAAACAATGCTCAACCCTTATCCTGAGTTAACTTCCAGACTGCAATGCTCACCTGGACGACACGCGTGCTTATTTTCACGCCCTACCAATCAAATCTCGTGCCTGAACGTTACATCGAGATATTTGAACGACTCGGCTGCAGTCGCACGCCACTTACGCACGATGTGGACTGATTCGACAGATGACCACAAACAGATGCGTTTGGCATTCGTCGAAACTGAAAATCGGATGGTTTCAAGAAACTTAGAGAACTGCACGGAAAGCGAAGTCTGTCGACGTGAAAGTAGCAGTAGTGCCAGCATTAGGAATAGTGTCTACCACGCCGCCCATCGATTTTTACATCATCTCGCAATATCCTCTGGATTGTGGCAGCAGCAGTTTCAGGCGGTTACTTCAATGGTTCCGGTTTTCCGTCATTCTAGCAAGCTCCACGGGCTGAGTTCCAAAGTCCAACCATGTCAGATGCTCATTATGTTCGAGCTATGCTTGTCACTGGAACAATGGTGATGTACCTGTTACTAAAGTCCGCCTTACGGATCTCTCCATTCGACTCAATGGATAGTAGCGTTGAGTTCATTAGTCAACTGATTTAGCTACGATTAAATTTTGGTCGAAACGCAACTGATTGAATGGACTTTAACGACTTTACCACGCCCAACACTGAGTACTGGTCCAGCGAAGAGCATACTGAAATGGGAGGAGCTTCATCTTACCAAGCGAAGATCCGAAGCTGAATTGGAGACGAATTCACGACGAGTACGATCCGTTGGTGAGCAGGTGATGGCCAGATCTGATGGCGCAAATGCATCTTCTGATTGATCGTTCCCTACGAAGTTGTTTCCATGACCTGGAGGGGGGAGGGGGGCAGTGTTTTGGCTATAAGCCGGTGTGCAGGCAAAATGATTCGCGCTCTTTCGGAGCGTAATGAAAAGAAAAACGAACCATTACCAAAGATAAAAAGATATGAATGCCCGCTTTGAAGATTGACGGTTCTGATGAATAGTAGTGCAACGCCCTTGTCCGCAGCTCCCGAAGGCTGTTGCCTGATTTTCATTCAAAAATAATGTAGCTGACGTGAACAAGCTTTCTTATAGTGGATATTTGCCTGGATGAAGCATGAAGCTTCACAGCAAATGGTTACGGTAAGTACTACGGAATGGAACGTTTTGAGGGAACAGTTTGAGAGTAGACCGCCGATTATTGTCAACGCTGCTGTCGCCGCTTTGAATCTGCATAATTGGACATTGTTCAGCTGTTCGCACTTCAGTTGTGATGACTGTGCGATGTCAGTCCGTCAGCACGTAGTCCTGTGGTCGCGAATTTGAATTCATGTCATTAGCAGATGTTCATTTGTATCAACTGTTTAGCTTCACCTTAGTGTCGCCTACGAATGCAAAGCTCTGTGCGAGCACAATGCGATACCGTTGTTGCATCGCTTTACCAGGGTAGCATCGTCGCAAAATAAGGTTTGTAGCAAAGCACTTTCCAGAGTAAAATGACTGACTTATCGTCAGTGGATAACGCGGATGAAAGTAGTCAGTCAGTACTTCTAACAGACTTTAAATGTGTGGATTATACCGCACACCTGTATTTATCGACCGTACATGTAACTGTACTGTCTGCAGAGGGCCGCATGTTAACCTCGTAGCGATGAGGATCATTAGAGGTGACTATCAAGCGACTGAAGATTCGGTCTTAGAAGCGGCCCTTGTTGTCCGTTGCGGAAATCGACTCTGGTGAAGAACCTCGGCTTGTCGTATAAACGAGGTAGCACTTTAATTTGGTTTAAAACCACAGGCAGGCTACTTGAAGTCTAGACTAACGTTGGTATCTGAGTACAGTGACAGCAGTACAAAGGATCTAAAAAATTTTTTGAAGACCGCCGGTTTGGGAAAACTGCCAAGATAATTAAGATCTATTTACGAATGCACAAACACAAAATCACAAATAAGAATAAAAATTTATAAAAATTTGATGCTCGTTTGTGGAAATTGTCTAGAACCTCTAGACACATTTATGATCTCGCACTTCTGAATACGTTTCAGAGAATTATTCCTGGCGACGGTGAGCATACAGCTTTCGTGACACACTGACAAACGCTTAAAATAAAGCTGAGGCGTCATTTCAATTTGGTACATATAATATAATCATTAATAAGGTAATGGTGAAAACAGCGTTTTCTCGAAACCTATAGCAACGACATAGGAACTACAATGAGTCATTTGCACAAGCGCGTATACGTAAAGAGAAGTGCCCATTTCCTAGAAATTACGGGTACTTAAACGCCTTGTGTAACAAGGCACTGGTTCCATGGTCTTGGCGTTAGTGCATGTAATTCTTCGTTAATGTAATTTACAGGCTTTACCATTAGCTATAGGAGGGTTAGTTTTGCTTGACGTGATGACATAGTGCCTAGGAGGTCGGTATCGAATTCGCTGCCGTAGAAACAGTCCATGTTTTACCACGAATACTGTTAAGCACGTTGAGGCACGTACGTACGTACGAGGCACGTTGCTTCAGTCCGATGTTGTTGTTCAGTAGGCAGATCATTTGAATTAGAACTGAAAGATCTCAAGCTCAAGTTCCGGATCAATCGCTTTTCTTCCAAGGTTGATAAATGAGTACCACTCTGCTGGTAAAGAAACAGAATACTGAAAACTATGCTGGCGACGTAATTGCTGTCTGTTCTGCCTTTAACATGAAGATTCCTGACTGATGGCATGTAAATAAAGGTCATAATAAATCGCCCAACTATTGGCACAGTGAAAAGACATCGCCACAAACAGACCCATCATGAAAATGTAAAGGTCGACATTGCAACGGTTATAAATCTTCCTTTTCCGTCTCATTTCTATTCATTTCATAGCATGTGCAATTAACTATTGATCAAAAGCGTTGAGCAGATCGGCAAAAGAGCGTTCGATGCGTACGAAATCGGCAATATATGTTTTAGCACATTCAACGCTAACTCAGTATTCCAAACGGCCGTTCTGAAGTACGAACTGCAGTCTGATGGAGGGAGCTGTTAGGAGAGTTCTCCTATCTACCGACCCATTTGTATCGCGTAAACAATCGCAAGAAAGAGGAATACCCCTGCTCACGTGCACTGCTGAACGATGAGGCTTACATATCGATCGAATCATACGGTGCGACAGCGCTTCCGAATAATGTTGTTTCAACTTCGGCTCCCATTGATGTTCAAGTCAATAATAGATATTCAAGCCGCCGCGTCACTCTATTCGATTTTGTCACGTGACACAAGGCTTTCAGCCCGCTAACTGGTAACCACTCTGCCTTGCCTGAGCTACTTTCAGCTAACCGTTGATATAATGTACCGGAGACTCATGATGCTCGGCATCTTAAGCAGACATTTACGGCAAAATTCGAGCAAACAATTACGAAGTTAGTGGGTTTCTGCTAACGATCAGTTAGCAAGCAGAAACTAGGAACGAAAAGCATGCAGGAAAAGTTCATTGTGAGCAAAGGTTGTGCGATTCGAAGTAAAGAAAACAAAACACCACAGAAATTGCTTTATAGCGAAAGATTATCCGCATATCCGTTACTGCATCTGCTTGCAATACAAGAAAGAAGCAGGTAATTTACTAACATGATATCGATCGATATTCCCGAAAGTTTTACCAAGGCACCGTCAGTAGGCCAACGGAGCGTATTGATGCCGGTGTAATATAGTTAATTGGCTGGCGTTGTTGCTATGAGATTGGTACCCTCGAAGACTATAAACTTGGTTGAAAACTGGCCAATGGAGAAGTAGAAATCCGCCCTAAATCGTAAATCTCTTAATGTTCTGCAGCTTTGCTCTCTGATCCTCCAACTATCGACTGCCATCGATGCACGTGATCGACGCGATTGGAAAATATTTTGACCAAAGTTGCGCAACTTGAATTGTCACATGACGATTGATTAGATTATGGGTGGAACTTCAATCACTTGTTGCTTCTTGGCTAGGATTCATCGATTACGCCTGTCCCTCAGAGAGGCCAAGTGACGTCGCATCAGTTAGTGACCGAGCACGACGCGACGTTCGAAAGCCGTTGACCAACCGTGAAGTGGGTGCAAGCGACTAATCGCTTGGCGGCGGAAATCCTCGTCTGCACGCCGGAAAGCCGACATCTGGACTCGACCGGATCCTCACTCGAGGGCAGAACGCGTGTGTTGACACTGCTGCTTGGCGTTCAATCATTAGTCAAGATTGTAACGATCTGTTGTCCCGTTTGTCCGTCGCCAAGCGATTGTGTTGCATTTGCACTGTGACACCAACGTTCGTATCATTGGCTGAGTTCGGTGGCTCGGTCGTGTCGAAGTCGTCAGGAACGCGCTGTCGTAAAGAGTGCCCCTGAAGTGAAGAGCGATTGGTCGCTTCGTTTTTTATCCCAGTGGAAATCGATTGGCCGGCAGCGGTGACGGCTGCAAGAACAGTGCGTCAACAAGGACTGTGGCGAACGCGCGTGGAGACCCAGGAACAGTTATAACTTATAGCAAAACCGAGTCGGCGCCCCAGCGGACATGAAGCATACGCTCTGCAAAGCGCCGAAAGTCGTGAACGTGAAATGCCGAAAGAACCAGACTGAAATCAGTGTCGCGACATGTGAGTATTTGGATGTCCAACTTATTGTCGACGGTTAACATGCGCGTGTTAAAAACGGTCGCTTTTCGTCGTGTCCTGCACGCCGCCGCAAAACAGCCATTCAGTCGAACACCCATGAACTTGCGAATTCTTTTGGTTTTCTGACGTTTCCGTGCTTGAGTGAAAAAGATGAATCGGAGGGGGCAGTTACTGTCTAACCTAACCCTCAAATCTGGTTGATGACTGGCACCGTCTCGATGCGTATTCGCGGTTTCGTTCAGTGTCACGCAAGTTGTCACCGCCGCCGCCACCACCTATATGCGGTATGAGCCGTGTTTTCCATTTACTGACAGCAGTCGCAGTGCCGATCTTTGAACATCACGAGTTCACTGAGAAATCGAAGTCGTAAACACGGTGACATGTCAGAACGAAACAGGGGCGAACAACAATTAGCGTTTAGATTGCAACTAGATTATTACAACCAGATATTAAATAGCCGGTTAAAATCTTATTTTCAGCGAAACAATGATAAGAATAGTAAATGATCATTGCGGTAATCATAGCACGGGTTAATCAAACGCAAAGTTAAAAGTAGGAATCAAAACGAAGCATGATCAGTAATTCAAGTGAGGGTCAATGTAGTGCAGCACGGATCGCCAAATCCAATTCAACAAACATGGCAACCTCATTAATGGTAAAAAATTGTTTTATGCCTGTCTGTTGACTGCTTGAGCAGTAGCAATCTCCAATGGGTAATGACTTGAACCTTCACCATTT